GAACTGTAAGGAGGATGCAGGGGTGCTTCAGTGTGATTTAGACAATTGAGTGCGTGGACAAATACATGACAGATGAAGTATAATATGGATAAATGTGAGGTTGTCTAATTTAATAGAAAAACAGGAAGGCAGTTATCTGATTGGAAAATGGAGGTGGTGCAACAAGACTTGGGTGCCCTCATACACCAGTCACTGAAAGTATGCATGCAGGTGCAACAGGAAGCAAAGGCGGCAAATATTAGCCTGAGAGAGGATTCAAGTTCAGGAGCAGGGATGTCTTGCTGCAACTGTACAGGGCCTTGCTGAGAAAGGTAGAATTCTGTGCAGTTTTTGTCTGATCTGAGGAAGGATATTCTTGCCACAGAGGGTGTGCAACAAAAGTTTACCAGACTGATTCCTGAGATGACAGGACTAATATATAAAGACAGACTGCACCAGTTAGGACTATATTCACGGGAATTTAAAAGAACTGGGGGGGAGGTTGGGGGAATCCCAAACATCTATAAAATTCTCAATAGATCAGGTAAACACAAGGAAGATGTTCCTCATTAACGGGGAGTCCAGAGACAGGGGTCACAACCTAAGGATACGGGGCAGGCCATTTACATCTCAGATGAAAAGAAATTCTTTCACCAAGAGAATGGTGAGCCTGTGGAATTCTCTGTCACAGAAAGTAGCTGATGTCGGAACATTGAATGTTTTCAAGGAGATAGATATAGTTCTTAGGGCTAAAGGGATCAAAGGGTACATGGCAAAAGCAGGGAAGGGATACTAAGCTGGGTGATCAGCCACAATTATGAATGGCAGATCAGACTCGAAGAGCCGAATGGCCTACTCCTGTTCCTGTCTTTTCTATGTTTCTACATTAGCACACTGGTGATGATAGCTTAGTGAAGGCACAATTCCTGGCCTTATCTTCCACAATCTGTTACAATCAAGGTCCCACTGCAATGGCGAGGGACTTCCAAACTTTCAACTTTGAACTACTGTACTCACATCACTCCACTCATCTCACATCTTAAATCCTCGTTGTCTATTGCTTCATTTCAAGTTTCTCATTGGAGGTACAATCAGATGGCCTTTCCTCAGCACTGATACCAAACTATTTGCAAAACCACTGTTTGAGCCTTTGCTGAGTTTTAAACATTGCATCCACTCACTACAAAGCCCTATTTCCACCTCTAACATTGTCTGCTTTTACTCCTCAGCCTAGCTGCTGCTGGAATGCTTACCCTTGCTTTTGTTACCTCCAGATTCAATTATTTTAATGCTCCACTGGTCACCCATCCTCAACAAAAATTAGCTCAAACAAAACTGCTGTGCGTATCTTAACTTGCTAAGTTTGATGACTAAATTGAACAAATTATGTATGCTGTGCATGATTGTGCAAACCAAAATCTGCCACTAATAAATGGATGTGTGTAAATAAAACTGAAGTCATACGGCTATTTCCAATGGAAGAAGGCAGAAGTCCTACTTTGTCAAAACTTGTTTCAACTCCCCTTTGAAAGGGTGTTTACATTATGCATGAATTATTTCAACAAAAAATTTGATGAAGGCCATTTCTGATAATATCAATATTTCCCTGCCGCCAACACAAATGACTGCATGGGATAGCATGTTTGTTCACTTACGGATACAGATATCAAGTTGTTTGATTCACTCGCATGGTTTGATAACATGATCTTGAGTGTGAATTGGCATTGACAAGCCACAATGCACCTCTGAACACAACCTTACACACACAACACAACAGCAACTGCTTAATTTCAGCATTCAATGTTCTGCCTGTTGCAGTTATTTGGAAGCATGTGCAGGCAGATTGTTGTTTTCTTTAACCATTTAACTTGCACAGAAATAAACCCAACACTTTCCTGACCAAATTTAGAAGGGTTATGAAAAATTCAATGTATGAAGAAAAATGGATGTGAAAATTCTCACTGTATGAGTCAATGAGCAGACTGCTGGATATGACTACAATCAGAGGCTGATTTTCAAGTATCCGTGGCAGCTCTGGTCCTAACTCACCTTAAAACATGGCATATTATTACAACAAGCACTTCTCACACCAGCTCTTACCCTTAACACGCCAAAACAAACTGATTTCTCAACAGTGTTAAATAGACGATTTGTATTTGAAAGCAACATGCAATTATCACTATGAGAAAGCGACCCACAATACCACATTCTGAAATCCACATGAAATGAAGAATAGAATGAAGTTGCTCAACAATGAAAATAGAAATTGCTGGAAAAGCTTAGCAGTTCTAAGGAAGTGTCACTGGACCAAAATGTTAACTCTGATTTCTCTCCACAGATGCTGCCAGATCTGCTGAGCTTTCCCAGCAATTCGTTTTAGTTTCTAATTTCCAGCATCTGCAATTCTTACCATTTTTATTAAATTGCCCAAGTCAGGCAAACGTCAAATGGATGATGTTGGAAGGTCAAAGGAAATATTCTACTTTAAGGTACAATATTAACTTCTGGACTAAATTATAATTTGGAAAAAAGATACAAATACCAAGTCCTTAGTCAACAATCTATCCCTAAAAATAATTAAATTAATTTTGTGACCATCTCACTTGCACTTTGCATATCCATTCAAGAACTGGGTGTTCTAAACATCACAAAAACACATCATCTTTATAACAGTTACAAAAGATTTTTACAAAGTTTTTTTTTTAAACAGTTAATACTGGAAACAGTTTTCCTCCATGGCCTCTTTCAGAATTCTAACTGGTTTGATCTAACTAGGCACTTTGGGTCAACTGTTTCAATGTTCTTAGCCCCAGGATCTCTGACTGAGCAGTAACAGCAGAAAGCAAGCTTTGCACTCCACTTCTCCACAACCTTCATTCTCTGACAATTTTGAATAAAAAGTAAAAGTATTGGAAATACTCAATAGGTCAGGCAGAATCTGTGGAGAGAAACAGAACAAACATTTCCTGAAACATTATAACATTCACTGATGCTGCCTGACAAACTGACTACTTCTGATTTATTTTCTTTTTATTTCAGATTTCCAACATCTTCAGTATTTCTTTTCGTCTAATATTTTGGGCTTCCTCAACCTTTTCCATCACAACTCCAACGAAAAATTGCTACCTCCCATGTTCAGGCCACAGTAACCTATGCATATTCCCAATTACTCAACATTTAATGTTGTCAGATTTCACAAGTTCAGGTACCAACCAGCTCTGTGAAGCAAGGACATCCCAACTATATGTTGTAAACATAGTCATTCATTCATTGGCAGTAGAAGAAACTAACTTTTCACAATTTACCATTCTTCAGTTCAGCATACTTTAATCAAGCCAGGGAAAGGACAGAATGAAACCCAACATCAGTATAATAAGTCAGCTTCATCCACGGTAGGAGACTGAAACTATGAGTCCCATTTGTGCAAGTATTTCAGTGCAGTGACAGAATGTTCGAAGATGTCTAACTTTTGGTTGAGATTAGAAGTCCTGCAGTGTGGAGATGGGCCATTTGGCCCAACAAGTCCACACCACCCCTCTGAACAGCATCACACCCAGAGCCATTCCCCTATCCCTGCATTTCCCATGTCTAATCCAAATATCCCTGGGCACTATGGGCAATTTAGCATAGCCAATCCACCAATGCACATCTTTGGACTGTGGGAGGAAACCCGGAGCACCCAGAGGAAACCCATGCAGACACGGGGACAACGTGCAAACTCCACACAGACAGTTACCGGAGGCTGGAATCGAACCCGGGTCCCTGGTGCTGTGAGGCAGCAGTGCTAACCACTGAGCCACTGTGCTGCCCCACAGAGATGTTAAACTAAAGTCAAACAAACTTTATCTGGCAACCTAGTTGGACAAAGATGTCAGTGATGTACTCAAGGGTTTCCTAAGCCAAAATCACCCTTTAAATAAAGTCAACGAAAGCATAATTCACTGCATTTGCTTTGGTAGACCTTGCAGTGGGCAGATTAGTTGCCAATAAAACTGCACCTGCACTTCAAAAGCAATTCGTTGGCTGTGAACTGCTTTGAGATACCCTGGAGACATGACTGATTAAACATAAAAGTACTCTATCTTCACTTCGTTATGATCAACTCCATCTCCTTTGCTCGATTTCATGCTTCTACAACTCTGCCCTGTTCTAGCCAAACTATACTGTACTGCCTTAACTTGCCGCAGGCTCAAATCTTTCCTGGTGGACTCATCTGTCTGTTATACACTCCATTTCTGTCTGCCCGTCATCTGATGCAGCAACTGGCTAAACAGCTCTTCCTTTTCACAGTCTCCAACATATTTTCAAAACTGTTCACAGTATTCTAGGTATGGTCTAACTGGTCCCTTGTATAGTTTTAGCTAGATTTCCCTACTTTTATGCATGAGGATCTCATTTAGTTTGGGAACATGGTCAGCCTGGATTGGCTGGACCATGCCCTATGACTCTACACTGTCTGCAATTTCACCTTTGGTTTAAAATTAGACACAAATTGAACAAGTTAGTAAAAGACCACCCACCAGAAGTATGCAAGCACAATGAAATGCACTGAAGACAGGAGTTGGAGAAATTTGACTTACAGAAAAGGAAATGGGCACAGAGAATGTGTGTATGCAAACTACTAAGAACAAGATACATTCAGGTGAGTACGAGGCCAGGCACTCTGGACTAAAACACCTTAAGAATCCCAAAGTTTATTAATAATGGCCAGTGATGCACACAGCATACCCATGTCCCAAAAGAGCACAAAAATTATTCTTGGATCATGTACTCAACACATTGATTAGTCTCTTGTCTTGCCAGAACAGGTGGGAACACAGTAAGATTTAGGCAAGAGGGTAAATGATCTGCAGAAGAAGCAGAGAAGAACATACTTCACCCAAATACTAATGGCTTTAGTTTTGAAATCATAATCATTGCTGGAAAATGATAGTTGTATCATTAGATAATATAGAATCATTCAAGTACAAGAATCAATGGTGAGAACACAATCAATAATAAATGTTAAAAAAATGACTTACCTTTGCCATTGCTCCAGCTTGTTGCGTGTTTAAACCCGTGTGCGCACCCATCTGTGCTGATCCCTGGGCTAAAGTCTCTGCCAACACACTACCAGAGTTGCCCAGGCCAGAGTTTGAATACTGCATGCTCCCTCGTCCCCTGCCAGTAGCTCCCAATGAGCCATTCAGCACCTGGCCCTGTCCTTGTTGCGACTGCTGCATTAGACCTTGGCTGTTGCTGCTGTTCAGTAGAGCTTGATGTGTGTGACTGAGATTGGTATTTATGCCAATTCCGCCTGGCCCAGTCTGAGCAGCTGGGCTGCTATTAGCAGACACCATACCTGGTGCTGCAGCATTGAGAAGTTTTGATTCTCCATGTTTTTGTGCTTGTGTGTTCAGTGCTTGAGAGCCAGGGGTTGAAGAACTTGAACCGCTGGCAGCCATCCCCAGACCGGAAGATGAAGTCAGCCCTTGACTGTGAGGGCTTTTGCCCAGATTGGAGCTGTTCTGCTGGCCCTGACCAGGACTCTCCAAAGATCTTGCTGGATTGTTGCTGGAGTTTACACTGCCCAGTCCTCCAGTGAGATTGGAACCACTGCCAGCCCGCAAGAGCTCCGAGAGCTGCTTGTGTTTAGAAGCGGCATCCTGACCAATGGTGCTGTTTAACTGGCTGAGTTCACCACCATTGGGCAGTCCTAAAGGGTCAGACGATCTGATCAATTCATCAGGCAAGTCATTTTCTAAATCAAATGGTGATCCAAAATCTGTAAAACAGAAGTTATTCGCTTTTAGCATTTGATTAGTAAAAGTGCACTATTTACATATTATAAGCATTTTGTATTAAAGATAAAATCTACCCAAAAATAAACACAACACGGAGGCATGATTTAATACAATACATAAATATATATTCTTAAAATCCTATTTAATGAGAAATACTTTGCTAAGTTTTTAACAGTTAACCAACTCTAAACTTAATCTTTATTAACGAACTTCCAAATATATTAAGATTTGTGTAGCAATTAGCAATGTCTATTAGTCTCTACTTTTAAAAGGAGTTCGGAAAATAGCCACTTTTAAAAAAATTTGATTTTGTTTGTCATACAATTGCAGAAGTTCGATATCATTTATGCCAACAATTGCATTTTAAATATTGGCTTCATATTGAATAACAAGCCAAAACCTTTTGTAGACAGTATACTAAATTTGACCAGTGCCTGACACTATTTTAGGAAGAATAATCTGTTCAGCAAATCACCAGTGCAACTTATTAAAACCTCATACACATATGTGTATCCTTATTTGTTATAATGGTAAGCATTTCTGAAATGTGTAAAGTGTTTCAAACATGTTTCCAATAAAAACATTTACAATGACTTGTAACAGTCTTAGAAGCCAAAACACAAGTCTGACATTGCACATTGTGAAAAGAGACTTTATACAACAACAGTGGGGGTACCTCCAAAGGTAAAAAGGTCAGGAAATAATATGATTACTTAAATCTTGGTCTCACACTGGATTCATAAACCTTAGTGATGATACTCTACAACCTGCATAACTGTCTGTGAACATACAAATGACCTATGTTTCTTCAATATGATGCTGCATAATTTAAAACATCATATGCTGCAGTTCAAGCTTCAGAGACAGAATGCGCCAAAGTATCCACCACCCACAGTGATTGCACATGTCCACAAGTGTAGCATCCAACAATTAATTGTCAAAAGATGAAAGTAGAGCTTAAAATATTCATTTGTTCACATATTTTAATGGTGTAATGGGGTAATGGGGTAAATAGTCTACCAAAGTAAACGCTTCATTTTGTTTTTATTTGTTCACTGCAAACATCAAACACCACTACTGCAGAATTAATAGTACAATATACTAGTTTAAAAATCTCACCCATAAACTCAACCGTCTATAGTTATTATTGCCTTCCAATATAGTCTAATGTCAATTGGGATACTCATTAAAATCTCGCACAACGAAAAATACGTAAATTGCACAGGCAATTGCATTTTGGTTGCATCTCTCCCGTTAAATGTTGGCATACCTGACGGTAAGCTGCAAATATTACTTAAAAAATTTTGACGATAGCATCGATCACTCGGCTCACCGGAATCCACAGGACAGTAACAGGGAGGTGTCATTAGACAGTATAGAATTCAATTTAAATCCCTGGGCTTCCGCCAACCACAGTGGCCTTAATGCAGTCCGCCGCTACAAGTTTCTATTTACAAAATAATGACCAAAATACGGACGTCTACTACTTCCGACACATGCACGGTTTACACACAGTATCAGATGCATATTTTCCAAGAAATGCTGCAATCTTACATGTTATACATTTTTACGTAAAGTTAACAAATTACGATTTCACCTGTCACAAGTCAGTTGAAAGACTAAAAAATATTTAACCAACAGACGTTTGATAAATATTATTCTACTTTATCACGTATTCCATTAGTTTCAACGAAATGCTTTCCACCAGCGAAATTCACCAATAGTCTAATTTCTCATATATTATAATACTTGAAACAAATGTGCGAGACAAACTTTATTTCATCACACCGAAACCAAGGTCTAATTTTATTGGTATTTGCTTGCGTGAAAATTATTGTGCAAATCTATCAACTATCGAACATAAAAAGTGCGAAATAAGTTTCGTAACCAATGCTGAAGAATCAATGACTTTACACTAATCAATATCCTCTCAAATATAATTCCTTCTTATTTGTCTATAAATATACAATATCTAAGAACATCTAATGATCTTCAACACGTTACTGAGCCATTCTCCCTCAAACCGTCCCAATTATACGATCGCAAAGACTGCTAGTTTTACTTTTGCGGGGTCGGGAGATGGAGAGAAGGAAGGAACAAAACCTATCAATAGCCTTCCCCACAAAAAAAACACGGTTTTAAGTTTCTGCCAAAATCCTTAATTTCAAAACATACGCATTCCATTCCTATTTACCATCCACAAAGAGGGGTGTTGGGAAGCTATGCAACTACCTATACTCCGCGGTTGTCTTAGGCGATGTCCCTTCCTTACCTGTACTGTCACTGGCGGAGAGCGCCGGCGAGTTGAGTTTGGGCCGTTTGGCTGACGGCGGTCCATCCAGTAGGTTCTCGGCCATTTTATTATATATATATTTTATATATGTGTATGTGTGTAAATCGATCCCCCCTCCCTTTTCAAGCTAGTTTCATATAATGAACATGAAAGGTGAGGGGGGTGGGGGGCGGGATAAAGACGGACACAGCAGCGACTCTGGCAGGCCCTGGGGCCTTTGACTAGCACCGAGAGCCCGCTCCTCCTCAGCCACAGCGCCATTCCCCTAACGCGACACCCTGTTCCGCCATTCCACTCCCCCCCTCGCACAGGGAACAAAAAAGCTGTCCAACCCCTATCTTCACTTTAATATGCAGTTAGAAAAAACATAAATTCGATGCAATCAGTCAGGCCGCATTTTCGGTATAGGGCCAGGACCAGGCCGGGGACTGACGCCAGACCGCTGCCGGCTGAGCCGATGAAAACAATACTTCACCCAAAGACTTGGTATGGCAGAGCGAAGGGGATACGGATTTTTAAACACCACCTCCCCCCTCCCCTTCAGCCGGTCCCCTTTCTCTTATCGCTTTTCCACCGTTTGAAGGCGCCCCGACTCGCAATAATTTGACGGCTATGTGGATTTCGCAACCGAATGTGGGTTTTGAGGAATACTCAAGGCAGCGAGCACAGCTCCCGACGCCGTTCAATTCCTCCGAAATTTCGGATGAAATTTTCCACCAAAATGGCGGCTGTTGATCTTAAAGTTTTTTTTCCTCCTGACGTTCCGTCCACCGATGGAGGGGGAGGGGGACGGGAGGAAGGGTGATGGAGGCGGAGCCAAGTATACGAAAACTGCCGAAATCACCTTAGTAGCTGGTCGGAAACACCCGAACTATGCTTCGGGAGGAGGAAGATGACTCCACGTGATCCATCCGCCGCCTGCCGATTGGCCGTCTCCGTAAGAAATGAGGGTGCAAGCGGCCGAATGTACATTACGTCATCAGAGCTCCTGATGCATTGTGGGGTTACTATCAAATTGACATGCGCACGGGGCTCACAGCTGTGAATGAGTTGTAATATTTACGTGTTAATAGTTATGTATTATTAAACGTGTAATACTATTTCACGATATTTACGGAACCACATTACATTAACACGTTTAAAGCCATTCGAAATACTAATATCGCTTCCTGCTGGCAGTTGTAAAATGTGATATCCGCTTAGAACTTCTCAAAATATCTATTTACAAAAATAGTTTCCTAAATTAAGTGGGCGGGAAAATACAAATAATCAAAGTCGCGCCTCAGTTTTCAAATGATATCCTTTCGGTAGCCCAGCGTTAATGAAGCTTGAACATGGCTCGCGAGGGAGATTCTGATTCACAAACTGAGATTACATAAAGGGCTTAGACATCTTCTGACTGCTCTGGATTGAAACATGCATCATTCATCTCCGAACGAAGCAAGGAGTTAGGCTCCCTCGAATCTTGGATGGTCTGGAGTCGAAGATGAAACATTGTTTGTATTTTTTTCTTAGACATTGATTATTATTTTGATGGAATACTTATTTTAAAACTTTGATTTTTATGGAATCTTCAACATTGAAAAATGTCTCAATGCCCTTCACAGAAGCATTATCAAACATAACACTGACGCAAGACAATATTAGACAGACGACCAAAAGCGTGGTCAAATAAGCAAATTTTAAGAAGTATTTTAAAGGAGGTAAGAGGTGGCGACGTAAGTAAGTGTGGCAAATAAATTTCACACGTTAGTTCTTTAGCAGCTTAGGGCAACTGCCACAACAGTAAAATCATTAAAGTCGGAATGCGTAAGTGGCTATAACTGAAGGGGCATCTCTTGGATTTAAACTTTCACGAGGATCCCGTATTTCTCACAAACTAACTGAAAACAAAAGTGCTGGAGATCACAACGGGTCAGACAGCATCCATGGTGAGAAAGCAAACTAACGTTTCCAGACTGGATAACTCTGATGCAGCAAGGATCAGTTTTAAATAAGTTACAGTAACACACCTGGAAAAAGCAAGCACAATCCAGTGCAAACATCTGACATCTTTCCATCCAAGAAAGATGGTACACAGGCAACACACACAATTCAGATTTTGTTTTTATCTGATTTCCAGTCATGGAATTGTACAGCATGGAAACAGACCCTTCAGTCCAAATCGACCATTCCAACCACATATCCTAAACTAATCTAGACCAATTTACCAGCATTTGGCCCATATCCCTCTAAGCCCTTCCTATTCGTATACCCATCCAGATGCTTTTCAAATGTTGCAATTCTACCAGCCTCCCCACTTCCTCTGGCAGCTCATTCCATACAGGCATCACCCTTTGCATGAAAAAGTTGCCCCGTAGGTCCCTCTTAAATCTTTCCCCTCTCACCTTAAACTTGTGCCCTCTAGTTCTGGACTCCCCCCCCCCCCCCCCGGGAAAAGACCTTGGCTTTCACCTTATCCAAGCCCCTCATGATTTTATAAACCTGTAAGGTCATCCCTTGGCTCTGACGGTCCAAGGAAAATACACCAAACCTATTCAGCTCCCCCTCTTCACCCCCACCTCAATAGCTCAAACCCCCCAATCCTGGCAATATCTTTTCTGAATTCTTTCAAGTTTAACAACCTCTTTCCTATAGCAGGAAGACCAGAATTGAATCCAATACTCAATGGACTGACCAATAAAGGCAAGTACACCAAATGCTTTTTCACTACCCTGTCCACTTGCGCCTCTACTTTCAAAGAGATACGAACCTGCACCCCAAGACCTCTTTATTCAGCAACACTCCCAGGACCTAAGTCCTGCCTTACCAAATCTGTAGTATTTTGCTTTATCGAATTCAGATAGAGTGTATTGGCTAAGGAGGCAGATACAAGCACATCACACAAGGCTGTTGCAGTTTTAGTTGTAGCATTCATCATTGACTTGTGTTGCCCTATAGTCATTGTAAGTTTGCAAGCCAACCAATCGGAAGTGTTGCAAATTTCCTCTAGTGTAAGCTAGTGATTCCCACATTTGATAATCTATGGCCTTCTTGGCTTCTTTGCAAGCCTCCTTAAGAGAGAGATTTGAGCATCCTGTAAGGCATTTGGTTCAGATTATCACAGCAAACGAAAAATATTTGGGTACGTAGCCATCTTCCACCTTACGGTAACATTCAAAGCAAATGAAGGCACCTCCATTTGATCAGTGCTAATAAATGATTTTTGGACCTTGTTCATTAGCCTAACCTGACCCACATCCACAATAGGTCCTATGTCTGACTTCTCAGAGGATAATATGTCTGATCCTAATGTGTAATCTGAACATTTTGTATGCCAGATCCCTCATCAGTGAGCGAACCTAAAATTCCCATCAGAGGAGTCACTAGACACCCTTCCTCTGATATGACTGATATTATAGAAGGTAGGCAGAGAATCAGCCCAAAGACAAATTGTGGGAGCAGTTAAAATAATGGGGTCACTTACTCCCTTGAATCTCTCACCCATCTATGCCAAGATATTAAAGTATTCAAGCAGGGTAAATAGTAAATAGAGCCCTATTTTAAATATGCAGTATTTAACCTCAATTTATTTTAGGTTTCCTATGGTCTTGAATTGATTTCAAGGTCTCAAACGAAGTCTTGACGCTGCAGCATTTTTACCTCAGGCTGAAGGTTACAGGTTCAAATCTCACTCCAGATAACCTAAGTTGACATAAGAACAGTACTAAGGGAATGCTGCATGATCAGACCCTTTCTGACAGCTCAGATGAAAAGAAAATATAATGCCATTATTTCAAAAAACAGCAAGGCATTTTCACTCATTTAAAAGTTTATTTAAATAGAGATAGTTAATTAAGAACAAGGCCTTGTCGGGTTCTTTGCCAGAACTGGACTTGCCTGCAACCCTGTGAAACAAAAAAATTCAATGTTGATAAGCCATAGTCATACCATCAGCTAGAGCAAGAGAGTCCTGATCTAATGCCTTGTGTACAAGGATAAAGTTTCCATTCTATTTTACTCAATTCTTTCTTCAGCAAGTCACCTGGTAACAGGAGGAGAAGCTGGTCAGAAAATTGCACTTTCGCAATCAACCCACACTCAGAGACTGGTTTCTTACTTTTACAACAAATGTCAACATCTCAACTTATAAAACATAACATGCACACTGACAGAAGTTTTAACTCTCTGCAAACCTTGGCAACATCAACTGGTTGCGGGGTTTGGGAGAGAAACAAGTTTTAATCCACAGTTATAGTTGAAACTTGCAAATATTTAAAGCTGCTGAGAGAGTTTGTTCTCAATTGAAGAATTTAACTATCTGTAAAACAGAAAAGGATAGAAATAATCCAGCTGTCTGCTAGGATCTGCAGAAATATAGTCAATTGTTCAGGCCATAAACCTTTCCTCAGAAGAAAATAGAGAAATGGCCAATGTGGCCAAAGAGCAATTTTTATTCAAAGGTGTGGGGGGGTTGTATGTCTGAGTACATATCTGTGAGAGTGACTACTTTCCCCATATTCTGTTCCTATTTAAATGTCCATCTGTACTATCCACTGGTGTTTAAAAAAGAGTCCACATTTGTTTAACCCTTTTTTCTCCTAAGATTAACCACAATTTTAATGGTCTGCAGCTTATCGACAAATTGAAAATTACAAAATTGGAAATGTGAGAAATATACCTGAGAAAGAACCAGTGCAAACTAGCATAGAATTAAATTATTCATCATCCACAAGAAACAACCTATTTAAGTAAAAAAGAACTAAAAAATGATGGTTGTATAGTTTTTCCTTCACCAGATTTCCTGTTCATACATAACTACTAAAAAGAATGAGCAGTGTTTTCCATTGTTCTTTGATTTACAGCATCTGCAGTTGTTTTTGAAGTGCTCTCTTGGACAAGAGGGGTGTCTAGTTGTAAAATTCAAACATCACCCAGAAAATGTTTAAATTGTGAGAAGCAATCTTAACTTATTAAGCTCACTTATAAGACAATAGGGAGCAAGTAGGAGGGATGAGCTAGATAGAATGTAAAATGAAACATAAACACAGATTTGAAGGGTTGACTCTAAAAGACAATATCTTTAACAAAGAAATATACTGTCATCACTGAACTGAACAGCATGTCTAAAATAGACACTTGGGCCCCTTCATCTCTGACTTAGAAGCAAGACTATCAACACTGAGGCAAGTCTGAAACTTAAGTGCAGGTTTGCTAACCGGAGTGTAATAAGAAGCTCAAGCTAACAACAGACTTATGGAACAATTTTTTATTACTGTTGGCAGAATTTACTTCCAGGGTATGTATAAACAGGAATGTTGGGAAGAAGGAACTACACAGCTATCATTAATGTAAAGTTACAATCTCAAGGTTTTGAAGAAGTTCCTTTCAGTATCACAGGTTATGTTTAGTTGGGATGTAATCGGTTGTCACTAAAAGACCAATTGTCATGAATAATTTTAGGCATAATCAGGTACCATAGAAAACAAACAAGGTAGAAATTATGGAAATTAGGTAGGAAGTTCAGGTCTTCATGCTATAGTCATCATCTGCTTTCAGGGATTTATGCTAGATGCAACTAAAAGTTTGTACAGAAACTGAAGTGACATAACTATAGATTCATCATTTGCACCGCCCAATTTTTATTGATCTGCAGATGTTCAACAAACTGAAATTGAAACTTAAACTGGAAATGTGAGCAATAACCCCAGTGGAGAATGAACCCTGCAAACTAGTGTAGGATTACTCAACGTTCATAGAATAGGAAACAAGCTACATAAAAAAGAACTCCCCCAG